GATATGGAGTGATCACTTCTGCATTGTCACTGTAAAATGTTTCTGGTTTGTGTCATTGCAGAGAAGAAAATCTAAAATATGTATTGTAAAATAAAGTCTGTCACATTGGATGGACCTGGCTWGTTTTAGCTATCTGAACACGTGTCACATCATAAGAATAAATTATAAATCATATACAGATATTGTCTGACTCTGCATGTCCTTTTTGTGTTCTGGCCATGCTCTGTGTTCAGGGTTCTTTTCTATTGATTCAGGGCACATTCATAGGATTTCCAGCATCAACGGGATTTCTCCTGAGTGGGCACATAGCAGCTGGAGGTTTCCAAGGCTGTGATTACCTGGTTTAGAGTTTATTCTGTATGACAAATWCACATCTCTGCCAGGCAGCATCAGGAAAGGAGAAAGAGCTCTTGCTGTCAGGGTTATTTTCATTGACAGCCCCCATTCTGTCCACCTGAGATGTCTGTTTAATGTGAGCATGTGGCACAGAACATGAGTGTGGGGCCAGGAGAGAAAGAAGTAAAAAAAAAAGCACCAGAGAGAGAAGAATGTGGTTCATGTAAACCCACTTTGGGAGACAACTGATTAGGATCCTCTTTGTTTTCTTGCCTGTTCCCTTAATTTTCAGTGTCCACTCTGTTCTCTGCCTTGGTTTACCTCCCAGAGTCTGGGAAATCTTTCAATATCAGAAAAAAAGATCTTTTTTTTCATATTTGCTCTTAAGAAAGGCTCTAAAACAACCATATTTACTTGTCTGTCTTTGAGAGAGAGCATGAAGACCAGAATTGCCCAGACATTATAAGATAATGTTTCTTTGACTATTTAAATTCAACTATGTTTGAGCAGAATTATTTTATCATGTAATACAGGAGCTAAWGGGTATTTGTTAATATAGCAGACTACAAGCAGACATCATGGTGTTTTTTTGGGAAATGGATCAAAGTTCATACAGAAAAAGCTTTATTTTTAGCATTTTGCTTGTGTGGTATAGACTAGAAACATGACTGTGAGTTCAGCTTGAAACAGAAGCTCTGAGATACATGTCAAACACTTTTAAGAATTAAAAAGAGTAACCCACTGTGCCTACATTCCCTGCTCAAGTGAAAATAATGTAAGGGATTATTGCAGGAGATACTGGTTTCCAGTGGCTTGCTGAAACATCATTGACTGCTGARTGTAATCAATGACACAATATTTCAAAATATTTTTGCTTTTCTCACAATTGTATGGAATGGATCTGACTATATTTATGTGCTTTTTTTCTGTTGTTTTGATTATAAGACATTTTACTGAATGACTGAAACTTGTTCAGTATAAGCTGAAATAAATGAAGTAAAATAGATGCAGTTTCCTTTTTTAAATCCCATTCATTCATGCAGTGAACAGTACTAAGATGCAATTAATATCTGAAGCTTTTCTTTCTAATACAAGTTTGCACCCTTGGATTTAACATTGACTTTGTGGGAATTAGTCCAAAAATATGCTGATGTTCCAGATCATCTTTGGTATGTGCCAAAGACATCACTTGAACATACTGAATCAGACTCTGAATGTGCTGTTCAGTCTGTCAGAGCTGAGACTTTGTCCTCTGGCAAWAGCTTTGCTAAATGTCCTCTTGGAAGTGTTTTGTGTTCTGAAAACCCTAACGTTATATTTTATGAACGAATAGTAAAGTAATTTTAAAAAATGTAGCTAAGGGAATGAACCAAACACYTCCTGCTTGTGTCACAACCATCATCCCTCAGTTGGGATGTTTTATTTGCACTGCCCCACGGTGTCTGGAGCTTGATGATGACTTGCTGCAAACAAGCTCCAAAAAATTGGCTTTTGGGYCTTGCTGGTGTGGTCACTGTGGGAGCTTTGGGGGTGTTCTCTGACTCTCTAGTGGGACAACCTCAAGCCCTGTTTGACTCTCCTGCAGAGCCAGTGCCCCCCAGGAACTGGRGTGATGGATTTGGGAGTTCAGGCAGGTGAGAGCACTTTGCTTTAGCGCAGCAGGGCTCAGCATTCACACCAGGGGCGTTTCCCAACAGCTGTCCTGTGTCGATACCGCCACACTTCTCACTGTCACATCTATAACCATGCACTCTGATCCAACAGCACGAGCCAGCTGCAGAGCTGTGGTCCAGGGAGAATTATCTGAGTTGGCTCTTTGGTCTTGGTGCTCTAAATACCCTCTGCCTACACACAGGACCCGTGAGCAGAGTGTAAAACACACCCTACACCACTGCAGGTGCTGCATGCTGGGGAAGACACACACTGGAGCTGAGGCTCTGCMGTTTTTGCTCTAGATTTTTATGAGCTCAGACCTGTGGACGAGGCATTGGAGCAAGGGTTATCAATAACTTCCTAAACTATGCAGAGAAAGATACCTGCGGCTCTGTTTTCAGCAGTACCATAAAATGTGAGAAGCCTTGTTAAATCGCATTTAATGACCGGGAATCTCAGGCGAAGTGACTCCTTCATCCAGCAGCCGTGAGTAATAATACTCACATGAACAGGTTTCACTGGCAGGACGCTAACTGGCCTGGAGTAGGGAAATCATGCACCCTGAAGCTCTGGGCAGCTCCTGTTGGAGCCAAATTRTTTCCCACTGGCAGGGAACTGCTTGGAGCTCCCTGAGTGCAGGCAGGGGTTGAATTATCTCTTTATTTAGCTGTGTCATGCCTCACCTGAGCTAACAGTTTGGCTGCCAGTGACACTTACTCAAACCTGGTGCACAGTGGCATAGCTGTGAAGTGTGGGAGAATCTCCTGAGTGTCTGGTTCCCATTTTAGCTGTTTTTCTCCTGGCAGTAAGAACTGTGTAGAGCAGTACTCCAAGCATTACTGGATGTCACATTTTCCCTGAAAATCAGGACACCTTTCATCGTAAAAGTTCTTATTTTCACAAATGGAATCTGGTCAGAGACTTGTGGTGCTTGGGGGAAGGGAGAACCCGGAGCATCCCGCGTTACSGGGAGCATCCCGCATCCTCCCCGCGGCTCCCGCGGGCTGCTGGACCCCGCACCCACCGGGCAGTGCAAACCACAAACCCTGCGSGGTCTGCACCATTCAGCCGGCTCCACTCACTCCCCCCTTGTCTCTAACACCGGCGGTCGCGGCAGATTTCATTTCTACGGGAGGACTGAAACATTTGATTTCTTTCTAGAGCGAATGTGCGGGAGCGGGATGCGGCTGTGGAGSACCCGGCCATGCACAGTCCCACATCGGAGCCAGACTGGGGGGATCGGGAGGGAGCAGGGGAAAGGAGCTGAGCMGGGAGTGAAACCCGGACACCCCGGCACCCCGGGGACCACGGGGACCATGCGGAGGCGGGGGACACAGCCGGTCCCGCGGGGAGGGGGATGCGCAACGCTCGTTCTTTGCTACCCAAATATCGCTCCGGGAAAAACCGGTTTCTTAGAATTGCCCCCTAGGGGGGAAAAAAAGAAAAGGAAAAAAAAACCTTAAACGAACACACAAACACCAAAAACTAGTGGAAAATGAAAGCTCTTGCCCGGCTTGARCTTGGGGTCACGCAGGGAATGGGGAAACTTGGTAACAGCGTGTTTGCGGCTGGGCCAGCGGGAGCCATCTCGGGGTGCGCACGGCGGTTATAGACCTTTTCTTCGAAAGCAAAAAAAGAGAAAAAGTATGGATGGTCAAAGACCGACTTTGATACGASTTTAAAAGTAATCAGCGGAACGGCGATGAAAAGATTATTTTATTTTTCAAAGTTGTGGGATCTGAATGAAAGAGCCGATTTATTAAATTTACATAAATCCAAAATATCGGACTCCCCGTCAGCGGAAACATGGCAGAGATGCAGGATTCCTTTTATATATAATATTTTTTTGTTCTTAATATTGCACAAATCGGCAAAGCCAATTAAGAAAATGCAAAAGGAAATTAAGAAGGGAAATACCCTTTCTCGTACAAGAATAATAAAGTTTCTTTGAGTATGAGAAATACGCTCTCAGAGTAAACGAAAAAAAAAAAAAAAGGATGATGTAAGACATCTCTCCGAGCGTCTCATGAGCCAGACTTTTTCCAGAGGAAACTTGTTTTACAAAGATTCGCCCGAAAACCAGGGACCCGCCGTCACGGATAGCGGCGTTTCTTTAGAGTTTATTGATTGATTTAAAGTGTTTAGCAAACAAAGTGCTCTCTTTATCATCTCTTGCTCATTACTCCCTCATCTTATACATCAATTATAAAGTTAAAACTTTTTTTTTTTTTTTTATAACAACCAGAAATATACAGAAATGATTAACGTAAAAAAAACCAGTCCTGCGCCCCAGGACCCGCCCCYTTCCCCGGGCGGGACCCCCGCGGGTCCGCAGCTCCTCGGCCGCGCTCGGGGGTGGATGGACAGTGACGTTTGTAAAAAATATCCGTCGTCACCGTGAGGTCACGGGAGGGAGCGGCGCATCTTTGCCTCTGCAATGTCGAGGCACAGGACCGATAGTTCTCTGTTTTACCCTGAGAGTCAAATGGGTACATAATCTTTTTTTTTTTTAAAGTCTTTTGCGAGTGGCCAGACCAGAATAAAAACAAAACCAAATAATATTAATAATAATTATTAAATTAAAACCCACATGACAACGAGGGACGGTGAAAATAAAAATACAGGTAACGATGATTTACATCTACTTGTATGTACACGGGGGAGGGAGGTTTCTCCTCCTCCTTCCCTCAGCAGCGCAGTCCGGACACATCGCGTACAAAAAGGGTCGTAGAAAGGACCGAGGGCRGGGGAACACCCCGCGGGGTCCCGGGAGCCTCTGGCCCCTCTTTCCATCACCCCGGGGTGGTCGCAGGAACACGGGGCTGCCCCTTTCCCCATGTGTCGCTGCCGGTCCGTTCTCGTTTCACCTCGCGGRTGCGGGGTGTGGAGAGGAACAGTCYTGCCGTGAGCAGCCCCCCAGAGCCCGTCCGGACGATCCTCGGAGGGGCGGCGGGCACAGCGGGACCGGGAGTGAGCAGGAGGAGGAGGAAGAGGAGGAAGGAGCGTCGGGCTTATAGATGMGGGGTGTAGAAAGCCGGAGCGCCGTAAGTCTGGGAGCCCAGGACGAAGGGCGAGAGGACGGCGGGGCTGGGCAGGAAGGGCAGCTGGGCAGCGCAGACCAGCCCTCCGGCCGGGTGGCCGGCGTAGCTGCCGGGACCGTGAATGGAGAGCGGGGTGCCCATGGGCGGCGAGTGGCTGAGGGGGCTGAGCCCCCCCGGCAGCGCCCCGCCGCCCAGCCCGGCCCCCGCCCCGCCGCCGCCTCCCCCGCCCGTGGGCGCGCTGGTGTCGGCGCCCGGGTTCTGCTTCTTCCACTTGGTGCGGCGGTTCTGGAACCAGATCTTCACCTGCGTCTCGGTGAGGCTGAGGGACAGCGCCAGGTTGAGGCGCTCGCACACCGACAGGTACCGCGTGGATTTGAACTTGTTTTCCAGCGCCACCAGCTGCTCGTAGGTGAAGGCTGTCCGCGCCCGCCGGGGTTTGCCCGACTTGGAGTCCGACCCCGTCCGCTTCCTCTTGGGCTTGGCCTGCGGGCCGGGCTGCGCCCCGACGGGCGCCGGTGGCGGCGGGGGTGGCGGGGGCGCCGSGGGCGGGACGATCCCCGCCTCGGCCGCCTCGGCTCGGAGCGGGCCCGGCTCGGGCTCTCCGGGCGCCGCCGGGCCGGAGCTGCCGCTGCTGCCGCTGGTGCTGCCGCTCTCCTCGCTGCACAGCTCCTCGTCGTCCGGCAGCTCGCTGTCGGGGCTGCGGCTCGGCCGGCTGCTGTAGTCCAGGTCGCACTCCTCGGCCTTGTAGAGCTCCCCGTCCTCTGCGGACAAGCGACAGCCGCTGTTAGGGCCCGCTACCGGCCCGGCCCGCGTCCCGCCCGCCCCCAGCCCCTCCGGTGCGGCCCCCGGGGTGAGGGCAGCCAGGAGAACCCGGTGCTTGGCCCGCCCGTGTCCCCGCTGCTGTGGGACAGGAGCACCCGGGGAGCGGAGCCGCCCCGCCCGGCCCCCTCAGCCCCTCCGCTCGCCCTGGGGATGCGGCCGCTCCGAGCCCCGGGTGCGCGGCTCCTGAGCCAGGGGAGGCTGAGGGGACAGGGCGGCGAGCTGAGCACAAACGGTGGGGATGGGRCTCGGAACTGCAGCCCTGGCACCGSRAAAGGTCTGTTCAGCCSGGGCAGGCTTGCCCAGCGCTGCCCGTTCCGAGCTGGTACCGAGACGGGGCCGGGACAGGAATGCACCTTCCTTCCCTCCCAGAACACAGAACACCCGACGGCTGGAAAGGCCTTGGGGAAGGCAGCAGGGCGGCTGTCCCCGGGTGCCCGGAGGGGCAGCGGGGCGCTGGCAGGGRCGAGGAGCGGCCGGGGAGAAGCCCCCGCCCGGGCCGAGCCAGCCGTGCCTGGGGAGCGGGCAGCAGGGATGTCAAAGCTCCTCKAAGAATTTTAGTGACGGAAATCTCCGAATCGATGGGCGGTTTGCTGGGTTTTGCTCTGGCATTTTTAACCCTTCCTGCGTCTGGTTTGACCTCTTGTCACTTCCCGASATGGAAGTATTAAAGTGGAGTAAATACTTGTATTGATTAGCAGAGCAGATACAAACTTAATTAAACTCATTTTGTGCAATGTACAAACTAGTTAACGGTCATTTAATTTATTTGGGTTTATATTACGCTCCAATTAACGGGTCTCCATCGGAGAACAGGGTAATTATCCGATATTTAAGGCTATTGGACTTCTGCTGACRATTCTGTCATTATGAAGCCTGAAAGCAAATCGCTTTTCGGGAGAACCGTCTCCTCCTCACCCTGGCCGAGCCCGGGCTCCTTCGGGGGAGCGGGGAGGCGAATCCTCTCCACGGGACGGGGATGGGAGAGACCCCTCGGGCAGGTCAGGAGCAGAGGCCCGTGAGTACCGTTCTTTTTCGCCAGTGATTTCAGACACTCCTGAACTTCCCTCCCTCACTTCTGCAACGGGGCTATAGTTCCGGGAACCCCTAATCGAGCACTCCATTAACTTGTTTAACCGAGATACGTAAATAGCAAGTGAGTCGTTGGTCTGTCACTCTTATCCCGCCCGTAGTTTAGTTGTTTTTAATCCTCAGAAAAGCTGAGCACAACTCAAATTTGGTCCGGACCCCCTAATCCCCGTGTGTAAAATTAGGGGTGCTTTTAAAAGTGTGTTTTGTTCGTCGCGCTGATTTTAGATATGGCTGGTTCCGTAGGAGGAAAAAAGGGCAAAATACTGTAATCCTTTTCACCCCGAAAATATCCCTTAATAACTCAGGGTGCATCAAGAGCCCTTCCCAGCTTTCTGTTCATGTCGGAGCATGGAAAACGCGGGCGATCGCCGCCGAACAGACGAGAACCGGGTCACTTTTCTCCCAACAAGACACAGTGAGTGCAGACAAGCGTCCTGCAACCTGTAGGATCTGTTAGAAATTGAGTGGCATATTTTTTTTGCGGCAACAATTTATAAAAAGTGCTCTTAGCTGGACCTGCGGGGCAGACTGAGCACAACCACACGCAGACCGGACCGCAAACCTGCAACTGGCAGATTTGGAGTTTAATTTTCTGTCTGGGGAATCCCAGGCGTTGCTTAACTAAAATTTTTTTAAGACAAAAAAATGCAACGCGAATAGAATCGGCCAAGGAGATGGACACCGGACTTGTTATTTTGTTTCTGGAATAAGTTAAAYGGTGATTTAATAGGGAGTTTTAACTGTTATTTTAAACGTTAAAACAGTTTTACGAGCGGCAAGTGACGAGCGCTGTTTTCACTCTCCTTTGGCCAGAAACCCTTTGAATTTTTCGGRGAGGTTGACACTTTTCTGGACAGAGCTACTTTTCGGAACACTTCTCCCAGATTAAGCCACCACTCGAACTAATATTAATTACGATGGGGAGAGAAGAGAAGAATTAAATTCGGTGTTTTTTGAGCAGTCCCAGATCTATTCCTGACCACTGCCATAACATTAATACCATGTGACCGAAGGACTGACTCCGTGTGTGGAATGTCCGGGGACCTAACTTGTCAGCGGGCGAAGAACACGGCGGCGTGATGCCTCCAAACATATTTATTTTGAGAGAAGAGATGGAGTTGCATTTCTCTCCTTGTCTGGAGATAAAAGCSTGAGATTAGCGATAGGTTAGCCTCGTCAGTCTTTCTGATCGCCCTGATCTATTTAATATGACAAAAGTCAGATGAGTTCGGAGGAATAATTACCCAGCTCCGCACTGCTTTTAAAAATCTCTTTTGAATTCTATTAGTGCCCCGTTCCTGCTTGTGCTTTACAGATGAAAAATGCYTCAAGGCTCGGGCTGGAGCAGATTCCAGACCTCTTTCGCTGCCTAATTTTAATTGACGGAGTCCTGCTACGGCGGGATTGGAAACCTCCGAGTCTTCCTCTCTCTCCCCAGACACAGAAAAATTATTTTTCCTAAACCAAGAAGTTTATCCCTTGCCTCTCGCCGCCTCTTCTTCCCCCTCTCAGGACATGGAATAACTATAGATATTTTCCACAACGATCGTGTTTTCCCGGAAACCCTCCGCGGTCCCCGGAGTCGCGATGTTTAGAGGTGAGAAAGTTGGGATATTTGGACCCAGAAAGAAAAAGCAATCTAGAGCTTGGGTCGAATGCAATTCCCGATCAATAGCGAGCCCTAATAAGTGTAATAGGTTTTAATCGAGTAATTATCCGAATTTTGACCCTATAATTTAGATGTTAGGGAAGAGTTTGCAAGGTGCTTGAAAGAGATATGCACAATTCGATAATAGGATATCGATCCAAGCAGTCCTACATGCCACTCTGGGGCGATTTTCCCCATTATCCAGCCTCTTTACGCTGCTAAGCACATTTTACCTTAAATGTAATCGAAGGAATTTAATTGTTTTTCCAGAGATAACCAGCATTTTGTCACAATTAGTCTGATTTGTCCTAAAAAAGCCAAGGGGAGAGAGAAAATTGAATCTGTCGCCCAGAGCAACGGGCGGCAGCGGCGGGGGGAGGACGCGGGAGAGGGGTCCGGGGCTGGGGARAGAGACACAAAGTCATAAAAGCCTGGGGGGCCCAGGCGAGCTGGGGGTACCAAGGAAGGGTTTTTCCACCCTCGGGGCCGGGGTTCCGGCTCTCCAAAGCTGGAGGAACCGCTTCCAAGTTTGCCTGAGCCGCAGCTCAGGCAGTGCTGACCCTCCCCGGGAGGAGGAGGAGGAGGATGGTGGGGTTCGCTCTCGCCGCAGCCAGGCCGGCATCCCTGGGGCTGATCCTGCCTCTCCCAAGGGTGCACTGCACGAACAGCCCTGGGTGTCCCGCCGAGCTCCTCGGGGACGCGGGGAGCGGAACCCGGGCAGTGCCGAGCCCCGGGGACCCGCCGCCAGCTCCGGCCTGCCCCGGGAGGATGCGCCCGGCTCCCCCTTGGCCATCCCTCCGCCTGACACAGAATTCCACCTCTCTACATCCAGCAACACCAGTGCAGGGATTATTTGTCCTTCCCCGGAGCCGGCTGCCCCCAGCGCCCCGGCTGCCGAGACTGCCAGCGGGGGAAGGATGAGATGTCAAAGCATGCGAGACCCTTGTTGGGGGAACTCGGGGCAAGCCCCGGCTCGGAGGGGCTCCGAGCCCCCAGACCTACTTACTGATCAGCTCTGCGGACTTCTTGCACGYGTCGAAATCTTCGGCGAGAGCCTTTTGCTCGGCCAGCTCCGTCCCTGAGTCCTCGGGCTTATCCTCCGCCCCCAGCGTGAACTCGGTCCCCGCCGATTTGTACAAGCCCGCGCACTGCCGCCGCTTGCTGTTGAACTTGTTAGGGTCCAGGATGTCGAGCACGGAGAAGGAGGTGGTTCTGTGCACCATGGGCAGCGCGGCCACTGCCCCCTCTTGTCCGGGGGTGTTGCTCTGGCTGTCCCCTTGTCTGTCCCGGTTGGCAGGGCAGTAGAGCGGCAGCTCGCCGCCGGCCGAGAGCCGCTGCTCCCCGCGGCCGTCCATCCCTTCCCCGTGGCAGCCGCGGGGCTCCCCGCCGATGCCGGCCGCGGTCGCCGGGGATGTCACCGCCGCCGCTGCCGCTGCCGGGATGGAGATGTCACCGACCTTGTCTCTGCTCACATTCATGACTCTTTGCAGAGCCCCTCTCGCTTGCAACTTCTCCCCCCTACCCTCCCCTCTTGCTCTCCCCCTCCTTCCTCCGGCGAAGTTGATCTGGAAACTCCTCCCCGGCTCCGCTCCGGCTCAGGACGAGCCGCTGCCTTCAGCTCCCCGGGGCTGCGCTGGGTCCAGCCGCCGGGAGCCTCCGGGGGAGGCAGGGAGTCACAAGGTGATGCTCGGCTCAGAGCCTCCACTCAGCTGCTCCTTCTTCCTTCTCATCATCCTCGCCAGGCTGCCCAGGCGCTCCTGCCCCCCCTCCCCTTCTCTCTCGCGCACACACACAGAGGCAAGGCTGTATCTTATTTATGCATTCATATTTAGCACTGGATTGTAATTGGCTACAAATTAATCCCTTGCCCATAATAGTCTGTAATCTTCATCACTGGAAGAGAGACACGGTGAAAGTGTGTGCCGGGGGGAGGGGGGCAGAGAGGGAGAGAGCGAATGAAGGATGGTGTTGGCTGTGATATACTTGGCTGTCAGCTCTGTTTCAGCACACCTCCACTCATCTGGAAAGCATCTAAATAGCCTTATTTGGAGAAGTGGGAGGAGATGACGCTTTCTTTTAAATAATTGCGGGATCAATATAAAGAAGATATTATACACAGAAAATGGGAACTTAAGGTCTTCCAYCCCTAATAGTGGAGTTAGATGATCAAAAGGGGATTATGTGTATGTGTGTGTGTGTGTGTGGGCTCCGAGGTGTCAGCCCCCAGCACCTGTTTCCCTTCCCTGCTGGGTTTATTAAATTAGAACAAAAGGAGAAAATTGTGGACGGAGGTTTAGCGGTTGGAGCGAAGCTCGTGTCCGCGAACACACACACACTCACATGCTTCGTTCTCCTCCTTAGCTAATTAATTAAAATTAAATCTCAAATGTAAGTGCCAGGAAAGTGCCAGAAGAAAATTAATACGTTTAAACGGCACAAGACAAAACACGACGATCAATAAATCCYGAGTAACTGGGAGAAAAGGTCTATTCCCTCCCACGCAGGAGTAAAGGTATAACCAGACCTAAGTTGCACTTTCGAAAAAATACTCTCTTATTAAAAGTGATTTTAATTGTAGAAAATTAAGACACAGGAATAAAATTGTCTGTGAATTATACARTCTGTTTTTTTCTCCCCTACCTAATTTCTTTTCCTTTCGTGTATAGTCGTGTATTCTTTGATCATATCAATTTCATTCTTGTTTTGGACGCTCCAGTCGCTACTCAGTTTGAATTAGCTGCCAGGAAAAAAAAAAAGGGGGGGGGGGGGGTAGGAAAATACTTTCCTCATAAGATGCATCACTGCATATTTAAACT